GCAGGCGCGCGGGGAGCGCGCCTCACGCCGTTAGCATGCTCAGGGGGGTCGCTCTATGTCGCCGCCTACTTTTCCGCTTCTGACAACAGCCGGAAACGCGGATTCAAAAAAGCGAAATGCAATAAAGCAACAATATGTTGAGACAAGAGGCCAAAAACCAAACAACAATCTGAGAAGGCCCTTCCGCGCGGGCCCTCCAATGCGCGCCTTTCTCCTAGAGTGCGTTTGTAGCCGCGCCTCTGCTCTAGAAATCTGCCCTTTCCAGCCCTCCTAGGCTGCTGCGCATAGCGTCGTAGCCGGTTTAGGGCGGGCACATGTACTCTCTCCTTTTTTCCTTTCTTTCTTTTTAGTTGGGGGCGCGCTTTCAGTAAGTTGGGTTCCGCTTCCGGCGGGCCGGTGGCGGTACGAAAAATAGCTCCCACGCACGAGCCGCCCGGCAGCCAAGGTAGCAAAAACCGGCGCGCAGCGAACCACACGCCTTGGTCTAAGCGCTGGTCCACCAATCACCGCTGGAGGGCCAGCGCTCCACCGTTGCCGCATCCCGCGTGTTCTTGCAACCGTATCCACGCCCGTTTCTCTGAATACCAGCCGTCGGTTTCAATTTCTGTGAGCCAACGGCAAAGCCCAGTGTTATTGGCAACCCCTCCTCACCCCGCCCCCAGCAAACAGCTGCGCGCATTGTTGTCTGTTGGTTCTCTTTGCTTGCGTATCTTTTTGCCGCCGGTTGCCTGAAGCGCACGCGAAACCTTGCACATTATGCCTGTCATTTTATTTTTCCAATACAACCAGCTTCTTCATTACGGGCCAGTGCCGCTGCTTTCTTTTGGCCATTTGATCGCAACCGTTATGCAGTCGCATGTATAATTTTGTCGGCCCCATAGGGGAATTACAAAAATGGTATTTTTTCCCTCGCATAGGAGCACGCAAGCCGAGTCGGAGTTCACTTGCCAATCCTTTTTTCTTCTGAGAAGAGGCATAAAAAAAATCATCACGTGTGTGTGCCGTAGTGAATCTTTCTTTCTCCTGAATGTAAACGTTGTCGGCGAAATCGCTTCAAGAAAAATACGCGCCGCGACCAGCCCTCTTCGAACTTCAACTTGTGAAAAATCTTTTTGTTTCTTTGGACGACCAGCACGACGCAACCCGGAATCAGTTTCCAACCACGAACAGCCAGAGAAGCCATCACTGGGGGACCCTCAGCAGAAAAGATGTTGCTAGACGTCAGCATCTGGAGCTCATGGGTGGGCAATCTACTACTTTTGCCTGAACCTCCTGAAAACAGCCACCCCGCACCCGCGAGCCGCCACCGAAAGCCAACAACATGCCGAAGCCGCCAACAGCCGGCTACTGGCTTCTACCTACGCGAGGCGCTGCGCCCTGGCACTACGGCAAGGCTGCCTGCGTCGCCGAAGTTGAGAGAAGCACCTTTCTGTGGCTGCCGCCGCTTTACGTGGGGTGTTTCTTGGGGGTGCGCCAGGGCATGCCGCCGCGCATTGCAAGGCCCAGCCCCACCTTCCACCCACCGCACGCAAAGTAATTGCGGCCGCGCTCAGCATTTTTGTCGTTGACGGTCTTTTCCGGTTTTCCTGAAAAACGGGCGTTACTATGCCGCCCCTCAAACCTGGCAAGCCGGCCGGTGACCCAGCCCTAATTCGGCCCGTTCAATTTACCAGCCACCCGCACGACCTCGGGGAGGGGGCTGAGGCACGTCGCATCCGCAGCGCAGCTGACCCGAAGCTTTTTTCCCATCAACCCGATTTTTCCCGCAGCCGGTCGGCGCCAGGCTTGCTGACGCGTATTATTTACCGGGCCGTTCGTCGTGAAAAGCGGGAAAAGGTCGGTGGGGTACCGGTGGGCTGCGCCCAGGCCTTCGATTCAGTTGCCCCCAGTCGTTTTTTCGTTGCGCTCTCTCGCTCGAGTGCGTTGCCGATGCGCGGCACCCGATGCTATCTGCGGACACGCGCCAATGGAGGGGAGTTGGGGCGCCACGCTCGGGTGCCTTTCCCGCCCACCCACCCCATACGCTTGGCCCTCCTTCTGGCGGCGGATGGGTGCACGAGCATCAGTGGCTTGACGTTGCCCATGCTGCTGCGTCCCTTAAGGCACGCAAGCTTGGCGAAGACACGGCCGCCGGTCCGTAAGCACAGGGCCCGCATGCTGCGGGCGGCGTCCAAATCTAATGTGCACTATACCCTATGATCCGATGGCTCCGTTGAGCGTGTAGCGAAGTCTGGCTGCGCCGTCCTTTCGATTGGGGCCAGACAGGCACCCGTGAGGTGGGGTGGGGGGCGGCTCGCTGGCGCGCGGCCACGGGGCGGAGTGCCTGGCCATGGAATGGGCCTCAACGAGCCCCTGCTGCACCTACCGCCCGCATCCAGCAGGCCGACGACGGCTTCTGCGGAGCAT